ATGGTTGGGACTGGGGGGACAGGGAATGGCACTGGGAGGGACAGGGAATGGCACTGGGATGGCACTGGGGGGGGACATGGGGACAGGGAATGGCACTGGGGGCACAGGGGGACATGGATGGCACTGGGGGGACACAAGGAATGGCACTGTGGGGGACAGGGAGTGGCACTGGGGGGACACGGGGACATGAATGGCACTGGGGGGACACAAGGAATGGCACTGGGGGACAGGGTTGGGACTGGGGGACAGGGAATGGCACTGGGAGGGACAGGGGGACAGGGGATGGCACCTGGTGGAGCTGGGACAGCAGAGCAGCTCCAAAGGACTTTCTCCCAGCAAATTTCCCTTTCCAGCTCTGTGTTTGAGCTTTCCCTAAAGCTGGAATGCCAGAGAGGCAGGGGCAGTGTGGATACAAAGCACCCTGTGTAATTTGCACAATTGAATTTATCACATTTATTACAAAGATACATTCGTTTGTATAAGATAAATGTATATTTGTAATATTTATACATATAAAGCATGTACACACTTATATTTACATATTTATATGCATACATTTATATGTTTATACATTATGAATATGTACATTAAAAATGTAAGTGTATACACCTTTATATGACTTTTTAAGCCAAGACAGCCCTAATGTTGTGGGGTGGACACCAGAAGGAGAGCAAGGCTTTAGAAAATTCAAAGATAAAATGTTAATGCCCCAGCCTCAGCTCTTCCAGGCTCAGGAAAGGAATTTGAGTTACATGTGGGTGTTAAACAGGGCCGTGCTGAAGGAATTTTGGTACAAGAGCCCAGGGAACAGCAACCTGTTGCTGATTGTTCTAAGCTGTTCTGTGCATTAAAATCCCACCTTTGGAATGCCTGGTTCCAGGTTTAATGCTCATTTGCCACACAAAGCCCCTCAGCCTTTTAATCTGGACTCTGAGCATTGAAATAAACCTTGGGCAAGATGAAAGGAAAACATTTTTCAACATTTTCCATCTGGGCTGGGAGGTGGGAACTCAATTCAATGACTCCAATCAATTTATGGCAGCACTGAGTTTCTGCACCTGCCTCTGCAGATATCATGGTGGAAGAGTTTGTTGAGTGTGGACCTCTGGATCTGTTCATGCATAAGAAAAGTGAAGTTCTCACAACCCCATGGAAATTCAAAGTGGCCAAACAGCTTGCAAGTGCCCTGAGCTACCTGGTAAGAGACACCTTGGCAAAGGCACTGGGGCCTAGCTGGGAATGCATTTCCCCCCAGGAAAAGTGCTGGAGTGGGAACACTCTTATTTCCCTGCTCCTCCTTTCCTTCTCCTCCTCCAGTGTAATTTTGGATTCCAGCTTGGAGTATTTCAGAGATCTGCTGTGGTGTGGATATCCTGGAGCACTCACATCCCTCTCACTGTTCTTTCCCTGCTTTTCTGTAGGAGGACAAGGATTTGGTGCATGGCAATGTGTGCACCAAGAACATCCTGCTGGCCAGGGAGGGCATTGACACCGAGTATGGGCCTTTCATAAAGCTGAGTGACCCAGGAATCCCCATCACCGTGCTGTCCAGGCAAGGTAGGGCAACATCCCATCCCCAGGGAAGGGAGGAATGGCACTGACAGCAGCCAGAACTGGCTCTGCAAGAGAATCAGGCAGCTTTCATGGAAACACCCTGTATTTGTATGTAGGAATAATCAGCTTTCATGGAAACACACTGTATTTGTATGTAGGAGCAATCAGCTTTATGGAAACACTCTGTATTTGTATGTAGGGACAATCAGATTTATGGAAACACCCTGTATTTGTATGTAGGAATAATCAGCTTTCATAGAAACATTGTATTTGTATGTAGGAATAATCAGCTTCATACAAACACACTGTATTTGTGTGTAGGAATAATCAGCTTCATACAAACACTGTATTTGTGTGTAGGAGCAATCAGCTTTATGGATCTGCAAATGCACAGTGGGTGTTCAGAGCATTCATTTCTCTTACAAATGTCGTGTCCAGTGAGGTGAGGCAGAAGGAATCTCAGATTGTGGATGTCTCCAGGCATGAGCCTGTGAAATCCTTCTGAAAAGAGGAATTTGGGAATCAAGAAACTGGACAAATTCTGCAGCTGCAGTTTATTTCAGGCAAGAATGATTCAGCTCTTCCCTCCTGTGACATTCACTCCCTGATGTGCTTCCCCCAGAGCGCGTTGAGCGGATCCCCTGGATTGCACCTGAGTGCGTTGAGGATTCCAAGAACCTCAGCATTGCTGCAGATAAGTGGAGTTTTGGTACAACCCTGTGGGAAATTTGCTATAATGGAGAAACTCCACTGAAAGACAAGACCTTAGCAGAGGTAAAGCTGTGTTACACAAACTTCCATCCATCCTCTTGGGCCCTTCAGTTTTCCCCCTTGTCCTGTCCCTCCCTGCCTTGTCCCCAGCCCCTCTCCAGCTCTCCTGGAGCCCCTCCAGGCCCTGCCAGGGGCTCTGAGCTCTCCCTGGATCCTTCTCCTCTCCAGGCTGGACAATCCCAGTTCTCCCAGCCTTTTCTAACCCCTGTGTCCAGTTAGAAGCTGAGTGCAATTCTCCCAAACATCTCTTGTTTCTTTTGGATTGAATCCAAAGGGTCTCCCAGGGGACACTGCTGCTCTTCACTGCAGTTTAAACAATTGGAGTCCCTCTTGCTGTGCCCTTCCTGCTGGCCACATTCCTGCAGGGCTGGGAATGCCCATCCCAGCCTTTCCCACCTGGCCTGGAGTTGGGACCTCCCAGGGCTCTGAGGAGCACCCTGGTGTCCTTGGCAAACATTTCCTGGTGCATAAATAACTGGGAAAACCTGGCAGGAAATGATTCCTGAGAGTGGAAACATTCATGGGTGTTAAGGGTTGCTCCAGGCCCAGCACAAGAGGAATTCTCTAAAGATGCAAGGTCCAGCTGGAAAGGGGAATTTCCTTGGCAAAGCTCACATTGAAATAAGGATTTAATGGTCACATCCTCTGATGTAGAATCACAGAACTGCTCAGGGTAGAAAAGACATCAGAGATCCTCGAGCCCAGCCATTGCCCAGCTCAGAACTGGGAGTCGTGGGAGTTAAAATTTCTGGAATTTCCGTGTGTTCCCACAGAAGGAGAGGTTCTACGAGGGGCACTTTGTGCTGGCCACGCCGTCCTGCAAGGAGCTGGCAGACCTGATGAAGCAGTGCATGAACTACGACCCCCACCAGAGACCCTTCTTCAGGGCCATCATGAGGGACATCAACAAACTGGAGGAGCAGAGTAAGGCCCAGGGACACCTGCAGGGAGGGATCCTGGAATGCTGGGCTGGGAGGGACCTTGAGCATCTCGCTCCAACCTCAGGGAAGATGAGGAGCTGCTCCAGGGTGGGAGCTTCACCCAGAGAAGTCTGGGTGTGGGTGTGGAAGCAGATCCAGACTGGCACAAGGGGATGGAGAATTCCCTGTCAGAAGGCAGGTGGGATCTAAGGAAGGGAAGATGTGGGAGTGGGAATATAGAGCAAGGATGACTGGGAGTGTCAGACCAAGGAATCTCACCTGGGATGTTTTCCGCCCCCAGATCCCGATATTGTCTCGGAGAAGAAACCTGTCACCGAGGTGGATCCCACCCTCTTTGAGAAGAGGTTCTTGAAAAGGATCCGGGATTTGGGGGAGGTAAGAGGAATGTCACCCCCAGAGCACAGCCAGTGCTGTCCCCACAGCCCCTGCTGTGTCACCCAGACACCCAAATCAGTGCCTGGCTGTCCCCACAGCCCCTGCTGTGTCACCCAAACACCCGAATCAGTGCCTGGGTGTCACTGTCTGAACGTTGTCCTCAAGGATGCTCCTTTCTCTCCCACCCAGGGCCACTTTGGCAAGGTGGAACTGTGCAGATATGACCCAGAAGGTGACAACACCGGGGAGCAGGTGGCAGTGAAATCCCTGAAGCCCGAGAGCGGAGGGAATCACATCGCTGACCTCAAGAAGGAAATTGAAATCCTGAGGAATCTTTATCACGACAACATTGTCAAATACAAGGGGATTTGCACAGAAGATGGTAAATCTTGTAGAACATTAAAAAGTGTATGAGTTTTCATTTAGAATTTATAAGTGTCCTGCCTGGAGCAGGTTTTCCTGTGCACTGGCTCAGGAATGGATGATGGGAATGAGCCATGGGATGTTTAAAATGCTGCTCTGGGCTTGTAGAAAAGCTGTTGAGAAGGGTCTGCTAAATTAAACATGCTCTGTTTTTTAGGAGGAAGTGGGATTAAACTCATCATGGAATTCCTTCCCTCTGGGAGCCTGAAGGAGTATCTCCCACGGAACAAGAACAAGATCAACCTCAAGCAGCTGCTCAGATACGCAGTCCAGATCTGCAGGGTGAGCTGGGCCCCGAGCCTGCAGCTCCATCAGCAGGCTGAGGGGGGAAGGAGAACATCAGCACAAAGCCCTTGTCCTTCTCTGTCCCCAAGGACCACAGCCCTAAAGCAATCTCTCCCATGCTTCGGGTGCCAGAGGCACAAGGATCAGCGGGGGAATAGTGAGGAGGTTCCAAGTTCCAAAGTTGGCTGTGAGAAGTTGTTCCTGTGGGAGGATTTGGAGGATCAGGAGCGAGGGCAGCACTTGGAATGTGCTGGCAAGAGGAGAAGAGCGATGTGAAGTCTGAAGGGATGGAGATGAGAGTGCAGAGCAGTAACTGGAGAAAAAGGGATTAAAGTATTGGAGGAATAAAGGAAATCAAAGGCTTCTTTTCTCCTCTCTTAGGGCATGGACTACCTGGGCTCCTGTCAGTACGTGCACCGTGACCTGGCAGCGAGGAATGTCCTGGTGGAGAGTGAGAACAGGGTGAAGATCGGGGACTTTGGGCTGACCAAGGCCATCGAGACGGATAAGGAATATTACACCGTCAAGGACGACCGCGACAGCCCCGTCTTCTGGTACGGCTGGGCCCCCTCTGCTCCTGCACTCCCCAAGATCTCCCACTTTTCCAGGAGGCCTAAGGAAGGATACACCATGAGAGCAAGGAAGAGGCACCTGTGGACTCACCTCTTGCGCTGTTTATTTCTTCCTGCTCTTTTGGGCTTGCCCTGCTTGGTTTCACAGGGCCTCCCTGTGGAACACACCTCATTTGTTACTTTCTGATTTTGTGCCAGGGCTCCACAAGCACAGCTGAGGCTCTGGAGTTGCTCAGGCCGTGTGTGAGCAGGGCTGGGTGTGTGGGTGTGACGCTGTCCCCTCGTGTCCCCAGGTACGCCCCGGAGTGTTTGCTGCAGAGCAAGTTCTACATCGCCTCCGACGTCTGGTCCTTCGGGGTGACGCTCTACGAGCTCCTCACCTACTGCGACTCCGAGTCCAGCCCCATGGCAGTGAGTGGCTGGGATGGAAGTGGCTCCAGTCCCAGTATTGTAAAACAATTCTTGTTGGTTTTGGCAACAACAAGAGGAACCGGAGAATCGCGGGCTCATCCAGGGCGGGAGGGCCTGAACGCTCATCTCCTTCCATGGGGAGCCCTTCTGTGGGTTTATCCTGGGAAATGCTCTGGGGCTGGTCCTTGTGGTGGGGTGAGGATTCCCAGCTGACCCCGCTGTCCCCACAGGAATTCCTGAAGATGATCGGCCCCACGCAGGGACAGATGACGGTGGCACGGCTCGTGCGGGTCCTGCAGGACGACAAACGGCTGCCACGGCCACCCACCTGTCCTGAGGAGGTGAGGGAGGGTGGATGGATGGATGGATGGATGATGGATGGATGGAGGGATGGATGGATGATGGATGGATGGAGGGATGGATGGATGATGGATGGATGACGGATGGATGATGGATGGATGGATGGAGGGATGGATGGACGATGGATGGATGATGGATGGATGGATGGATGATGGATGATGGATGGAGGATGGATGGATGGATGGATGATGGATGGATGGATGATGGATGGATGGATGGATGATGGATGGAGGATGGATGGATGGATGGATGGATGGATGATGGATGGACGATGGATGGATGGATGATGGATGGATGGATGAAGGTTTGTCCATCTGTCCCTGCTGGACACAGGCTCATCCCCAGAGGGGTCTTGCTTCCCTGGTTCCACAGGCCCAACCACTTGGGTAGGAAAACCTTCAGGAGTGCTGAGAAGAGGCATTGCCAAGGCTTTCAAGTGTTATTTTAAGATGTTTTTTGATGTTAACATTCCCAAGTCCTCACTGTCCTTTCAGAGGGGTCGAGGACTTGCTGTGGTACCTGGATCCATGGAAATTCCTTGGGTTTCCCTCCGATTTTGGCAATTCCTGGGGCGCAGCTCCCCAGCTGGAGCTGCTGTGTTGGTTTAAGCTGAACTGCCCTCTGCTCCGCTGTCTGTACTGCAAAACCCAAAGAAAAGTTGAATTCCTTTAAAAATCTCCCTGGTTCTGTTGCCAGGTGGATCAGCTGATGAGGAAGTGCTGGATCTACAAACACGACGAACGCACCACCTTCCACAACCTGATCCAAGGATTTGAAACAATTATGAGTAAAATGTAATTAATTTTTTTTAATCCTGTCTGGACTTTAAATGCCCAGCAAACTACGCCCAAGGCTATTACTTTTTTTTTTTTTTTTACTCCTGTAATTTGTACTCTGGCTGGGCTGATGTTGTTATAAAGGATTCTTTTGCCAACAGATTGAAGAGTTGGATTAAAAGAATTTAAAAGGTTTTGGCAAAATGAGCTCCAGCTCCCTTTGCTGCTGTTCTTGCAGGGCAGTTTTATCCTGCTCTGATTCTGGTTGTGCCACAATTGGAATTGCCCTGATGGATGATGTGAGCTGGGAAAATCCACTGCATTTCTCAGCTCAAACCTCAGCCAGTGGCTGTAAGAGGACTCAATTAATAATTTCAAAGTCAGCTGACAAAATATCCTTCACATGCACTTAAATCCTAGTAACAAACAAAACAACTTTGTCATAAAAATATAGGGGAAGTGAAATTTCCAGCTCTTTTTAAACCCACCAGGCCCAGTCCTGAGCTCTTACAGGTATTTAAAAAAAAAGTGTTCAGAAATACCACCCCAGAAGCATAAAGGGGTGGGCACAGTTGTGCATTTCAGTGAGAGGCCCAATTTTGGGATAAATAATTTGCTTTTCCTAACTCCATTCCCACATTCTTCCCCCATGAGCTCCCAGCCTGGGTGCACCCCTGGAGGGGGAGAATTGCATCCCTGGCGCTGAGGGATGTGCAGGGAAGGAATTCCTGGAGCAGGGAAAGAAATTCCTGGAGCTGGCAAGGAACCCAGTCCACGCCAGAGCCTGCAGGGGATTATGCAAAAGGAAAAAGGGCCTGAGCACCCAGGGGTGCCCAGGGAATGGGAACCTCTCCAACCATTTTTTCTTTTAAGAACATTTTGACTCAGCCCATGAGTGGTTTAACTGGAACCTTCTGCTGCCATCCACACCTGGAGCTGGAAAATGCTCTGAAGAGATCCTCGAGTTTTGGCAATAATAGAAAGAGGTTTATATATAAATATATATATATAAATATATATAAAAATGGTAATTATGAGCTCCAAGGAGGTCAGATTTATTTTTACAGTGTTATTGTTTCTGTATGTCACTTAGGAAGCTGAATTTCATCTGTAAGCACTTTGTTACTCTTTATACAAACAAGTCTAATAAATTTTTTTTTTCTCCATGTGCCTCCCTTTTTAATCATAAATTAAACAGAGGAAAGTTTTTAAAAACAAATTTCCATAGGAATGGTGTTCTTTTGAAACCTTTTCCTACCTTATCTGATCAAAGGAGTCCAGGGCTGTTTTCCACACACAAAAAATCCACTTGAAATAAGTACCAACAATTTATTTTCATTGAAAAGTGTAACAAGTTGAGAAAGTTGCATATACAAACAGTTGAAACAAAATATTACAAGTGAATTTATCAATACATACAGGCAGAATCCCAGAAAAGCTCCTGGCTCCCGTCTGGGGAGCAGTTCCAGCAGCTGAGGGAAGAGGGAATTCAATTGGGATTTTTTTAAGCTTTGAAAATGTGGACCCTGGTCACATCCCAAAGCTTGAAAGGCAAAAGTTTAAGACTTATAATTTAAAAAAATCAGTATTGAAAAATGGCTTCAGTGTTCTCTAGCAAAGAAAAGGGAGGAGGAGGTGGCTCCTGGCCTCAGTGAACTCCATCCAAATGGATTTTTGCAGCAGGATTCCAAGGGGGCAAAGCCTTGGAATGAGGGCTGGCTCCTCATTTACCTGTCACTGATGGCAAAAGGAGGGACTGCTGATCTCCAGCTCCAGGGGCAGAAGAGAACAACTCGAGGCAGAGCTGAAAAAAAAAAAAAAAAAAAAAAAGACTTAAAAAAAAAAAAAAAAAAAAAAAGGAAAATACACTCAAAAGTGGGAAACAACGTGGGGTGGCCCAGGATGAGCTGTCCCACACCTGGGAAGGAGGATGCTGCCTCACACTGGGATTTACTTCCTCCATGGAAAAGCTGTGGATTCTCAGCCTAAAAACAAAGTTATTCCACTGTCCAAGGAGCAGCCCCCCAAATCCCAGGGAATATTCCAAGGCAGCACAGGTAGCATCTCCCTTTGAACAGGCATTTATTGAGAACATCACCGAGGCTCTGGGAATCCATTTGGTATCGCTCCATTCCAGGATTAAGAACAAACACTAAAAACTGAGAGGCTGTCAATGCAGAGCTTAATCCTGGAAAAAAAGGAAAGTTGGAAAAAAAAAAAAACCAAACCCACATTCTGAGTTAAAAAAATACAAAATACTTACTATCAAGACTTCCTCTTTTAACTTCCTCAGGCTGAGGACTGGAGAAAGGATCAGCTTTCTTTCCTCTGGGTTTTTATTGCTTTCAGCTGGAGCTGCCCCAGCTCCCCAGGTCCTTGTGCTCTGTCCCTCAGCCCACAGGTGACAAAGCCAACACTGTCCCCTCCTCTCGGAGTGAGAGCAGCCGCCACCTCTGTCACCTTTGTCACCACCTTTGTCCTCGGCTGTGGCGGCACAGAGCTGGCCCCTCGTGCGGCATCCTTGTGGGCAGTTAAGGCAGCAATAAACACAGAGCGATTCCCGGCTGCCCTCGCTGCCCCGCTGGAATCCATGCAGGGAATCCAGGGAATCCAGGGATGCGAGGCCACGATCAATAGACGCGCTTCTTCTTGAGGGAGGACTCGGAGTAGCGCGGCGCGGGGAGCTCCGCGGGGCCGGGCTCGGGCGCGAGGTACGCGGAGCTGCGCTTCGGGGCCACCTGCGGGCGACACGCGGCCGAGCCCGGGTTGGCTTGCGTCTGCGGGGCTTCACTGTGGGACATCTTTTTTACATGCTGATTAGTCTTATGGTCTAGTTTTACAAGGTGTGAGTTGTATAGTCAGTTTATTTTAATAAACTAAAAATGGAGATGTGGTTTTTTTCTTTAGTTGGGAGTTTTATTGTGGTTTATTTTAATAAACTAAAAATGGAGGGTTTTTTTTTTTCTTTATAAGGTTTTTTAAGGATAATTTGTCTAATTAAGAAATTAAATTATTTTTAATTTAGTAAGTAGCTACTTGCGGCTTACAATCTGGACTTTTTATCTAATTACACAATACTATTTAAACTGATGAAGAAGGACTGGTTTTCACCCTAAAACTGCTATCTTGCTTTATATATATTACTATCTTTTAAAACTAAGTTTTTTAATATGTGATATCACACACTTCTATTTAAACTCCACACCCATATAATCCCAGTTCTGTCATTCCATTTTGGAAGCTTCTCCACAGCCTCAGGTCAATGCAGTGTTCTCCCGGGGGTCAGTGCCTGGCAGCAAGAGTCTAAAATTCTCAGCACCCAGGGGTCCAACAAGACAGGACAAGTGCCACTCAACCACAGCCACTGAAAAGAACTCCAGGCTGGCAATTCCCAGTGAAGTGATGCCAAAGACCTGGCTCCTTCAGCTTGGAGTTCTGGGGTTTGTGCCCTTTCCCTAAAAAATCACTGATGGAAGGATCAGTGCCCAGCACACCGGGGCCAGGCAGCCTCATTCCACAGCACCTGGATAAAATCCAAAGGAATGATGGCCTCGGTGATGTCCTGCAGTGCTCCAGACATCTCCAGCCTTTAGGATGAGGCACCTTTCATTGCTCCTGGAGAGCTGAGGGGGTTCAACAGTTCTGGCCCAGCTCCCAGGGGGTAAAAGATGAATTTTCCAGCCATGCCAGAGTGGGTCTGGGCAGGATCTCAGCCCCTGCCTTTCCACAGGAGTGAGGGATGGATGGAGCAGCAATGGATTTTTAATTGGAATTTCAACTCCAGCAGCTCACGGTGCCACCCTCAGCCCTGTGGGGCCCAGAGTGGGGTTTCTGTGAGGGCACAGCTGCTCCAAGGCTCCCTGGGTTCTCCTTCCCTTTGGAAAAACCTTTCCCAGCAGCTCTCCAAGCACCCTGTGCTGCTCACATTCACAACTCAAACTGCTCCTGCTCAGTCTCATCCTGGGGGGCACCTTCATCACAAAGAGAATTGTTTGAGGAGAGGCTTCAGTTTTCCCCCTTTCCTCTGAAAGCCATGGGGGTGTCACCCATGTCCTGTGTCCTTCCAGGTCCACACAAACCCCCTGACCCCACTCCCCCTGAGCCTCTGAAGCAGCAGGATTAAAAAAAGCCCCAAAAAAGCAGGATTCAAACGAGCTGCAGGGTCCCTGCAAGCACACACTGAACTGGCAGAGCCTCTTCACTGAGATTTAGCTGCAATTCCAGCAGTTTGGAGGCAAACTGTGCTGCTGTGCCTGTGCCAAGGGACTGACCGTGCTGCTCCTGCCTTTTATGGCTCCTGGCATGAACAGCACTACTCCAGGAACCTCTCTGCAGATAAACTGAGAGGTGCTGCTTGCCTCAAACCCCACACTCTCCTCCTGCTGCCATTCCATCATTTCCAGCCACGTCAGAGCCCTTGGGAATCTGCAAACTCAATTTTTTCATGTCCCAGCCCGTGGCCAGGTTTTGTCCATCTTTACCCCAAACCATGTCAGAGCCAGCTGCACCCAGGAGTCAGGAATTGCTGGAGTTAAAAGGAATGCACTGCCTTCAAAATCTCCACAAAACCAGGAATCTCATGCCCAGGCTGATGCCAGAACAAGCCACAGGATTCAATGCTGCCATTCAAGGGCCAGGCCCCTCAGCTCTCCCACCAAAAAACCAGGAGCAATGGGATTTACCCACAGCACAGGGACAGAATTCCTCAGGAGTTCTGCATCCTAACCAGAATCACAAACTGGCCCTCACTGTTTCCAAAGCATCCATTTCTTGGTGAGAACTCAGTGTCCACTGGAGCACCAGCAAAGGAAGCTTTGCTCACTGAGTCTGGCTCAAGCAGGCTGCAGCTGACAGCTGCTGTAATTCCAAATAAAAGCCAGTATTCAAAAAAAATTTTTGGTAACAAAAAATTATTTTCCAATAAATGTTATCGGAATAAATTCCAATAAAAGTTTTATCCCCCAGGATCCAGTGAAGGGGCTGTTGGTAACCTGGATGCTGCCCAAGACCAGGTAAATCTGCAGATGCTCCAAGAACTGTTTTAGAAATACATACACACAAAAAAATTGTGTATTCTACAAATTTGGCAGGTAAAAATCTTTATAGATTTATCCTGTGTTCTTTAATTTGCTTTCCAGGAAATTTTGAGCTGCTCTCTCCACTTCAGAGATTCTATCCCAGTGCAAACCATCTGCAAGTCAAGCAAACACCCATTTAAATCCAGTCTAACCTCCTCCTCTTCTCTTCCTGCTTCAAGTCGCCTCCTTCCAGGCATCTTTGCACACCCTTATCTCTCCAAGAAGCTCCCAAAAACCCAGCCCTGCTCTGCAAGGCTCCGGAGTCGGCCCAAGCTCTTCTCCCATTGCCAGGAATTGTGTGGGATGCACAGGGAAAGCTCCACTCGGGGGCAGCAGCAGGCAGGGAGAAGCTCTGCTGCCCCTTCCCTCCTCTCACCTGCTTTGAGGGATTTGCTGCAGGAGGCTGCAAGCCCGGCTGGGATCCCTGGGCTCCACTCAAAAAGGAAGGCACCACCTGCAGGCAGGTGCTGTAGTTTGGGAAAGATCCACCTGCAGATTCCTGAATCCAGAAGGGGATCCATGAAGAAGGAAAAAATGTTTAATAATTCTTTTTTTTTTTTCTTTTTTTTTTAATTTTTTTTTTTTTTTGCTGTTGTGACGAGCTCTCAGCAGGTGTGGAAATACCTGAGTAACAAGAGATGCAATTCACAGCAGCTCAAGTGTGCAGCAATTCCTGGAGCAAAAATGTGGGATTTGGATGATGCTTTAATTTGTGTAATTCCTTTCAAAAGTGTCTTTCTCCTTGCTCACAAAAACCTCAGCTTGGGCAAGAAATAGCCCTTCCAATGCTGGGAAATTCAGCACTGGGAAATGCCATTAATGGTGTGCTGCTTCCTGCTGGGAATATTTTGGGAATATTTTAGTTCAGTGCTGAGCATTCCAGGTGGTTTTGGATGGTGGGATGTTAGAGAGGGATATTTTGGGGGTGACTCCGGGGTGCAGGGCAGTGCCCATGCAGTGCCTTCTCCAGCCCCTCGTTCCTGTGCCAGCACACAAAGCAGGTGTCCAAAAGCTGATGGGAGCAACAGCCAGTGGAGACAGCAAGAAAATAAAATAAAATTGTTTCTCACCTCAGAGATTTCATTTTCCAAGCCATCCACTCTGGCCTGGGCAGAGTGATGTGCCTGAGCATAATGCTGGTACCACTGCTGGACAGCCTCCTACAGAGGAGCAGAAATCCTCTCCCATGCCTGCCTACAATTCTTACAACCCAAAGCTCTCCAAGAAGCATCAAACCACCTTCAGCACCAGTGGAGAAGCTCAAATCAAAAATTTGAATTTATGTTAAGTGCTTAGAACACACATGGGGCACCTCTGGCCTGGCAGTGAGGCAGGGACAACAATTCCTGTTATGGGAACACCTCCAGGGATGGGGCAGCCTCTGTGAGTCCCCACTCTCCCAGGCAACAATTCCCAATTCCCAATGTCCCATCCATCCCTGCCCTCTGTCAGTGAAGCCATTCCCTGTGTCCTGTCCCTCCCTGCCTTGTCCCCAGCCCCTCTCAGCTCTCCTGGAGCCTCTCCAGGCTGATCTGATCCAAGTGTGGCTCCCTGCTCTGTGCAGTGACCCTGCTCCCTCTGGCCAGGCTGGGAGCTCCCAGCCCAATCCCTGAGTGCCAGGATTGGGGCTCCCAGATCTCCCTGCCAGCAGCAGCAGAGTCTGAGTCTCCCCACTGACAGCCTGGGCAGGAGGCAGCTCTCAGAGCTGATCTGTACAGTCACAGCTTTATACAGACTTGGGATGCTTAATGAAAACATGGGAATTTGATCCCATATCCACAGTGGAACTGGCTGTGAGCACTCTGCAGAGCTGCACCTCCTGGCCAGGCTCTGATCCCACATGGGGCAGATGGGGAGCACATCCTGTGCACTGAGAGCAGCTGGCAAACATCCCCACGCTGTGCAGAACGGCAGAGCTCTCTTCCCTGGGATCCAGACAAAGTTCAGCACTTAAAAACTTCTGGGGAAGGCAAAGAGAAAACCCCCCTGGTTTTGAAGGCAGACAAAAGCCAAGGCAGAGGTGCTGAGAAGTCATTTTTTAGTGAGTGCCCACAGTTCAGGCTCTCAAGAAACAATTTTTTCAAGGGTTGTGATTTCTTCGTGCTCAATCTGCTCTGAACACTGAAACAGATGAAGTGTCAGTGCAGAGGCTCAGGAAGAACACCCAGAGAAAACAAGGAGCAGCTCTGGGAGCATCCCAGGGGACACCAGGCTGTGGGATTCCTACCTGTGGGTACTCCCCAGGCTGCTGGGAATAACTGAAATAATTTTCCATTGCATGTTGTGATGCAGTTCCCTGAGACACAGCAGCATCCACGACACTGTTTGGAAGGCTCTGCTGTGGAGGACTGGAGGCTTTGCTGGCAATTGCTGCTGGGAACACAAAGAACAGAGTTTGGATAAACACCTGGCTTGTAAAATCCACACAAATTAGGTTCTGTTCCAGGATTAAAATTGAGATTTGTGCCCCAAATTAATCAGTGCTACTGATAATTGAAAGGCTTCTAGAAGTTTGTGAGCCTCTGAAAATTTAGCCCTGTTTAACCATCAGGATAAATGACTTTGCAGTTTTAAGGCAGACTACAAGATTTCCTTGAGGACAAATGCTGTGGTCACTGGCTTTAGCAGGCAAACAGGATAAATATTTGCCACGCTCTGGCTGTGGAAATTTGCAATGAAATCCATGGAATGTTTGCTTACCTGGCAGACAGATACCAGGCAAAACACTTGCCAAATTCAAGTAGGGGTTGGTGCTCAGGCGGATTTCTTTTGGGGGTTCCCCAAGCAGAGAAGTCTGTTTTTTCAAGGGAGCCTGAAAAATGGACAGGGCAGTTTGCATTAAATTCATATAAAATTGATCAGAAATAAGGTTAAGTGGCCCAGCAGGGTCATGGGAAAAGCTTAGTCCTATGAATAAAACCCTTTTGAAATAAAATGAAACTTTTGAAGTCAATCCTTCAAAAGATCCGTTTTATTTCAGCAATCTGGACACATTGCCTGCACTTTTTTTCTTCCAAACAGTTTTTGTAGGAATGTTTCTCTTCAGACTGCAAGTTCCTAAAGGATATTACAAAACAAACAAACAAAAAAAAACCCTTTTATATGCAAGTGAAGGAATAATAATCACTCGAACAATTCCAGATGCAGGGAGTGAACATTAAGTACATGGCCAAGACAAAATCAACTCTTTTCACTTGGAGACACAAGGAAATAAAGGCCAAATGTTAGAAAAATCATGAATTAAGCACATGTTTCCCCAAAATGTTGAAGTATTGATGTATATTAAAATTATTAATTTTATAATATAATATATATATATCATTATTATTATAAATTATTTTAGATTTAGATATAAAAAAGGAAGGGCAGAAAAAAAATCTGAAATAATGAGACCACTTAAATCCCATCCTATCATGCTCTCACACCTCACCTTCAAGGGAATAAACTATATTTTTTTAAATGGTAATTAAAAGTGGAAAATTGATATACACACACACAAGCACCTGGAAACCCACAGCCCTCCCCATCAGAACTGCTCCTGATGAATCACGAAATTCAACCCCAAGTTCAAATTTTGGCCTGTAGAAGAGACACTGCCCCGAGATAAATGTCACCATCCAGCAGTGCGAGTGGAACAGCTGGGAAGGAGCCCTGCAGCGGTGAGGAGCTCCTTTGTTCCTTCAGCTGGACCACCAAGGATGGTCCCTCCCCATCCCCACCACCGCACAGACCTCCACGTGGCCCCGGGATGAGCTGGGATGGGGAAATTGTGCAAAGGAAAGAGGGAAGGGGAAAAAGGAAGGGGAAAAAGGAGGGAGGGAGGGAGGGAGGGAGG